CAAAATATTGAATGCTGGTTTCCTGCAATTTTATCGCAAGCAGGGCAAGAGTACAATGAGTTGGTAGAGCAAGAAAAAGGAAAAACAAGAACTTGTTTGGTGAGGAACTGGCTTAAACCTGAGAGGTAAATAGCTGTGGGACATTATCATCAACTGACGGAGGAGCTCCGCCTTGATGATCATGAGTCCTACAATTTCTTGAGAATCACCCCACCCATGTTTGATGAACTTCTTGAACGCATTAACCCTTTAAAATTAGATGTCCACCCTTCTTCTTCCTTGGAGGCATGGTGATGTCAATGTTTCCAGCTTGAAACTGAGAACGGAATAAGAATGGGCAGGGTTTTATACAAATCGAACCAGGAAGTGATTGCACGCACTAGAAACGGAGTGAGAAAGTAGTGAGAACGGGAAGAAGTGCCTGAAAATGAGTTGGTTTAGTTAAGAATGAGTTAGAACGGGGTTGTGCGTATTAAGAACGAGAGATAGTCACTTTATATCCGTTCTGAACAAGACCTAAGGACAGGACTGGACTGCTTGAAAACGTTGTCCACACGGGGTGAACAGGCAATTTTTACCCACTCTAAACGTAACACCAACTGTCTGGGGATGGGGTAAAGAGGAAACAGACGTATTGAGAACTGTTTATGATCAAACTAGCATTGTAATTTATACAAAAGTTACACGTTCTATCCAGTTCGAGCTCACTTTACAATTATTGTTTGGAAGAGTCAGGACATCCTAAGAACTACCTTGGTGTGACTACCAACAGGTAGCATGGCTGGATCAACAGAACACCATCGTTCGTTCATAAATGCTACAAGACTAGACTTGTTGACAGGACTGCTGATGTGTTTGTCCCATTGTCTTGGCAGTGGTTTGTTTTTGCCAACAATCTTGACTTCTAGCGCCGTTGGCGATCCTCTTTTGATTTGCTCCCCTGCTTTGATTGACTCTCGTCTGGCATACCTGTCCCAAACAACATCAACTCTAATGTAGTCAGTTTGATTCAGAATTGAAGTGAAGTTGTCCCAATGCATATCAGCCAAGTCTCCAAATGTGGAAGCAGTTCCCTTTCTGAACATTTGCAATTTTGCCATTCCATCAACTATATGAACTGGCAACATTCTCTCTTCTGCTAGTATAAGCAGCGAAGGACCAAAAACTTCCTTTTAAAGTTCATTTAACAAACCGCTTTTGATGTTCTTTCTTAATGTTCCATCTGAATGAGCCATTGTAAAATGAACACTAGAAATGTCCGTGTTCACATCAAGGTTGATTACAAATCCATTCAATTTTCCAATAGAATGATGTCTGCATCTTGTGAACATTGAAAGTGGAGTTGTTGTCCCAAAGGATATGATTCACAGCCTCTTGCATGTTAAACAGATTGGGGCAGAGCAAAGGGATAACTTCATAAGTAGTCGATTGAACTCTTCCAGGACAAACTTGTGGTCACCTTTACATCGACTGAACCTGAAAACCTTTTCTACATTGATTCCCAAAAAGGCTGTAAAGCCCAGGGATGAGAAGCTTCACGCAACAAATGGATGACAAGTTGGATATTCAAGAAACACTCATTACATCTTGTGGCCAGATTGTGAGTTCTATGTATGTACCAAATAATCCAGTGATGTCTGTAGATGACACAAGATATTGAATAAAAACCTCCCACCAACATCCAACAGTCTAAAACATCACATTGAACGAGTAAACTACCAAGTCCATGTTTGGAAACAGTCTCTGCAACCAATCATGAACATTCCTTCACCAGTTGACCATGGTTGGAGCATTTGTGATGGTCAGCTTATCCCTATTCTGATGTCGAGAGATCCTGCTCCCCGTGGATTGGTTGAACTGACATTGTGTAAATGCAAAAGGTATGCATGCCAGCAGAAAGAATGATATAGTGTGTACAGAGGCATGTCTTTTTGTATGGCAGATGATTGTTGCCCAAACACCTTTGACTTGTTGCCAGTAGATGACTCCGATTCTGACATGAGTGAGTGAGTGAGTTTAGTTTTACGCACTCGGTAATATTCCAGCTATATGGCGGCAGTCTGTAAATAATCGTGTCTGGACCAGACAATCCAGGGATCAACAGCATGAACATCAATCTGCGCAATTTGGATACGATGACATGTGTCAACCCAGTCGGCGAGCCTGACAACCAGATCCCCTTAGTCGCCTCTTACGACAAGCATGGGTTATTGAAGATCAATTTTACAGGTCCGATTCTGACATGAAGTAACATATGAAATGAAAGAAAATGAAAATGAGTGTTAATTGCAAGCTTATGGATGTATCAAATGTGATTAAGAGTTATCTGATAGAACAATTTGAATACCTACAACCAAACCTTAGACGTAGTTATCGGCCATGAAGCATAGTTTTTCAAACACTTCTGGATAATGTTATTTCATCAAATATTTTAGGAGTGTGAAGCTTTGATTGACCATATCATTGAAATTTAGCTCTATTCCTATACTGTATTAAACATTAGACACCAAATGAGTTGTTTGGATTTCATATCAGTACAAATTTAGTCCTCCACTAAGTATATGTAGTTAAACTACAATGGCGGCCATTTTTAATTCTGGGTAATATATAAAAATTCCTAATAATATGCCGTCACTCAAGAAGTAAAGAGAAAACAAAAACAACTTGTGTTAGTAACAAAAATATGTTAACTGCCATTAAATAAATCACCCTCACACATTTCCATGAAAAGTCGGAGAATCGGTAAAATACCCCTGTCTCAAAGAATAAGCTGTAAAACATTAACTTACTACGATATGACCATACAAAATGACTTGTTGTGTGCCCAAGACTTCACTCTAGGAGAAACAAGTGTCAAAAAACATCAAAAGTATCAACTTTGGATGTAAATGGAAACATTCGGTGTTCATTTGTATGTAAATTTAAGTGCTGAGAAGGCAAAACACGACAAAACAAAATGGCGGCCATTTTGATTTTTTTTTCAAAACAAAATTATGTCAAATAATTTCTACATCCTTTAGCAGTACATAGAAGTCAAAATGTAAGTGATCAGATTGATAGTCAAAAAACTATTAATGATAAACTTTGAGGTGTCGTCGGGCAGCAAACCAAATGTGACGAAAATGCTCGCAGACCCCCACCACATATAATGGCCTGTAAAAAAACCTGATACCACAATCTAAGAGTATTACAGGCTTTTTCATGAGGCCAAGACATCATACTAACTGAAAATAGTGTCAAACAAAATCAGTACTGGGGAGGCTACGAAATCCTATTTCTAGGCCCCTTTTGAGATTCTCCTCCTGAACTAGTTGGGGAGGTAGTCTAACTCGATGTTTGTGCCATCCTGTATTGGCGTCATAAATGATTTGAGAAAAGTTATAAAAGACCAACGCTACTAATTAACAAGTTTTATTTTGTTATTTAACGCTACACTCAGCAATATTCTTGCCACATGACAGCGGTCAGTAAATATTGAGTCAGGCCCAGTGTCTCGCATCATGAGCGTCAATACGATCGATAACGAGTGAAGTTAAAGAGCCCGACCACCCGATCCCGTTTGTCGCCTCTTACGACAAGCATGGGTTGCTGAAGATGAATCCTAACCCGTATCTTCAAGAGTATTGTTGAAACAATCTTTCAGATTGATATATATCTTTATTGATAATTTAAAACACTGTGACTATGCGGCGTAATAACTAATAAGTCTAACCATTCATCGCTAACCATTGGTTTCAATTCCTCCACCATGTCTGCAGAGTTCTGCCCTTTGGGTCCGCCAGAAATCTGTGATCATGATTTCGACCCCTGTTCGACCTCTTAGTAGGTTCATCAGCACCATTAACGTGTTTTAAAAATGAAATACACTTATTCCAAGACACCAGTGACTGAAGCTGGGATGCAGCTGCACGATCTCTTCTTATGTTCAGGACTTAACGTTGTCCACAACGATGACTGAATTGTAAATTGTCACAAGTTAGTCTGAACCTCTGGTTGGGTTTGTTATGTTTCCTAGTCAAACGTATTAATAGCGAATGTGACACTGCAGTACTCCGGAGCTCTAAATATACACGTGAGCAGTCATCAAGCACAACTCACTTTATATAAGTACGAACACGCTACATGGTTTATCATGGTTTATCATATTAAAATGGTAGAATTTACTAACAATCTGAGAGGATTAAACAAAAAAGTGATTATCAACAATGCCGGAAAGTATGGTTACCATGACAACGCTACCAATCTGATTGTATGAGCCACCATTGGTGACCACATGAGCCACTGGTGTAGTCACCCTTCGCACGTATAACATCTGCCAGTCTTATCCTTATGTTGTCAATCAAGCGTCGAATTCACAGCATATGAATCATCTGTCGTTCCTTTTGGAGTTCTTGCGTCAATTCATGCATCGAATTACTGCAACTTTTGGAACCGTAGTCCAATAAATCAATTTAAAAAACTGTATTGGACGTACCACCATTATAAAATTTATACCCCAATGTGCTTGGCGCCTTCGTGACAGGGACCAATTGACAGCTTTTGAAATACATGTATTGTGTGAAGCACGCGTTTGGTGGGATATTATCACATTTGCAGGCGCGTAGCAAGCCATTCTTTTTCGTGTAAGCCAGATAGGTTGCAAAGCTTTATATTTAGATAGTATTGAGGGCTTGCCCAACCTTTTTAGCAAAAATCATGTGTAAGCCTGGGCTTTTTTTATAGTGGTAGCTACACCCTTGACTTGGAGCAAAATGTATATCTTGGCCTTGTTTACAGGTGGTGCGCAATTAATGCCCACGTGTCTACTACATTGTATAGACGTACGTCATGTTTCTGTAATACATACATACGGAACACCGTACCACAGAGACCTTCAGGATTTACCTCCGTACAAAGGTTCTTGAAGCACCGGCCTTACTGTTGACGTGCCCGTCAATAATTCATATACCACACACATTGATCGCGAGAGGAGGAAACAAAGTTACCAGGATGTTGTTTATCTGGATGATAACAGTTACAGGCATGGTTCCTCACCAGATGATGGCTCTCACCGCGGTGGGTTATCTGGTTACGCTGCTGGTTTTGGTGCATGTACCACTAGTCGAAGGTAGGTATTCATTATATGACATATCTAGTTTCTTTATTTATCGGAGAGATTCGATTTAGACGTGAATTCACTTTAGCAAAATCCAAACTCATTTCCATTTTTTTTAACAGTCGATGAGGTAACGCGACGTTTTCTTGATGGTTTCTTATGTATGGTGTATAGAATTCAAAATATCTATCTATCGGTTGAATGTTTGAACCCATGTACCCGTGTAAAATATATTTCGGAGAAGAATTTATATGGGCTGATGCAGCCTGTTTGCAGACCCATTTTCTTTAACAGTCGATGAGGTAACGCGGCGTTTTCTTGATGGTTTCTTATGTATGGTGTATAGAATTCAAAATATCTATCTATCGGTTGAATGTTTAAGAAACCCATGTACCCGTGTAAAAATATATTTTGGAGAAAAGAATTTATATGGGCTGATGCAGCCCTGTTTGCAGACCCATTTTCTTTAACAGTCGATTAGGTAACGCGGCGTTTTTCTTGATGGTTTCTTATGTATGGTGTATAGAATTCAAAAATATCTATCTATCGGTTGAATGTTTAAACCCATGTACCCGTGTAAAATATATTTTTGGAGAAGAATTTATATGGGCTGATGCAGCCTGTTTGCAGACCCATTTTCTTTAACAGTCGATGAGGTAACGCGGCGTTTTACTTGATGGTTTCTTATGTATGGTGTATAGAATTCAAAATATCTATCTATCGGTTGAATGTTTAAACCCATGTACCCGTGTAAAATATATTTTGGAGAAGAGAATTTATATGGGCTGATGCAGCCTGTGTGCAGACCCATTTTCTTTAACAGTCGATGAGGTAACGCGGCGTTTTCTTGATGGTTTCTTATGTATGGTGTATAGAATTCAAAATATCTATCTATCGGTTGAATGTTTAAACCCATGTCGCCGTGTAAAATATATTTTGGAGAAGAATTTATATGGGCTGATGCAGCCTGTTTGCAGACCCATTTTCTTTAACAGTCGATGAGGTAACGCGGCGTTTTCTTGATGGTTTCTTATGTATGGTGTATAGAATTCAAAATATCTATCTATCTGTTGAATGTTTAAACCCATGTAAAATATAATCGAGATATGGTGCTTTTAGTGGACGTTGAAGTGTCTTGCAACAGCAGACTTGGACTCCCCTGCTTCCAAACGTTTAGTGGCTTTATTGTAGTTTAGTAGTACTCAATCTTGGCATATTATATCTTTGTTTACGTCGTAGTGAGCAATATTCCAGCAATATCACTTCGGGGGACACCAGAAATGGGCTTCACACATTATACCCATGTGGGGAATCGTACCCGGGTCTTCGGCGTGACGAGCGAACGCTTTAACCACTAGGCTACCCCACCGCCCCCGTTTACGTCGTAAATTTCATAATGAAATGAAGAATTTGGTTTGGCCTTTTATAGTCACTACTCATGGTTCCTACACATGGCGCGTGTATTCCGTGGAAAACTGTTTCTGCATGCACTATCCATGGATCGTTTTAAATCTCTTGTGACAAACGTTCACAAACCCATTTTGGGATGCGTACACAACAACCACGATATATTTAACGGGATTTAAACACAGGACTTGTCTTAATGACGACTGCTGTCAAAATATATCGAAATGAACTGCTTTTTGAAGAGGATATTGGCATGGTTCTGGGGTATTTCCGTCACCAGTTTTACTTTAGTTTGTCACAATAAACTATTTCCCGTCTGTAATACACCGTGAGTAAGGGGAAATCAATTCATTATCATGTAAATTAATGCGTTGCAAACAAAGGGTACATCTGTACGCCACTCCACTGCGATGCTACTGCGATGTTACCTAGTCTTCTGACAATAGCCGAGATTTCGATATGCATGGGCGCTGATTGTGTAACCAAGGCAATTGGTTTTTTTTCTTCTAGAAAACAATGAAATCACAAACGACGTTTTTGTGTGTAAGATCTTCTTTGTATGGCTATTTAACATGTTTTAAGACAATCACTTGAAGGTTTTCTTTCAAACCATTTCAATTTGCTATAAAAACTATATATTCATATGATATGAGTTCATCGTTTAAAGTACAGACACATCTGATGTTAGTATTGGCACATGTACGACTTCCACAGGGTATACGTTAACAGTAAAAGCAAAAGTTCCTACAAATGGTTCATTCAAGTAATATGGCTCAACCAAGTGTCCTGGTAATCGTGTTTAAGTTTAAGAACTTTGTTTGCCTTCACGGACTGAACGAAACACTTTCCTTGGCATTGTGAAGAGATAGTTCAACGCAACGCTCAGGTAAATGCGGTTTCTGGTTTGCTTTCATATCTACAACATTAATGACATTCGTGTGCTCAGCCTTTGTGAGCGTAGACTCAGGAACATCTAAAAGCTACAAGAAATTGAAGAAATCTTAACCAACTGGACGACGTGATGAGTATCCTTCCTGCCGAGTATACAGGATCACAGACAGGTTGTAAAACCATCAATCCCATCCTATTAAATTGATAATATATATCAACGTCACTGTACCGTATACACCACCAATCGGCCATGACATTCAGGGCCTATATTGAATATCACTGAATTATTCACTATTACTACGTACACGTGCTCTGTACATGTGCACAGCCACATTCATACATAGACATACACAAAGTAACATACAGTAACTAAACATGAGTATATACGTACAAATACACGTACACATTCTAAAGCATTAACACACACGCACGCACGCACACACACACAATATATATATATTGACGAACGTTGACCTTTATGACCCAACACTGCCGCTGTTACAGGTCATTGGCTCCCTCCCTCTGCAAGCATTCTGCGTTCTGCTGTTTATTTTGTTGACAGTTACATAGACAGATTCTTTAATGCAAATGCATAAAATCGGTGATTTACAATGTGATTAGGTTGTCTGACAAAACATCGACTTACACAGTTTGAGATCGATTGGGTCATTGGATGAAGAGATATTTACAAAAAACCGGGTCCACATGCATTTCATGCCAAACTATAGTTGATTATTAAATTTAAATTTAAATATATTTTGGCTTCTCGTGTACATATGGTGCAAGTATTCTCTACGTCGAAGTTTATACTTTTTCTAGAAAATTGCCTCTTTGGCAATTCTTATGTTTACATTAGGTTGTACATTGTCTGTCTTTTTGGGTATATCAACATATATTCTATCATGTCATAAACGTAATATAATCATCAGTCATATTTACTGACATTGGAAGACGAGACTGACGATCGTTGAGAATGATCACTTATGAAGTATCCTGCTTCTTTATATTTATCATGTGTGAGATTCATTCCTAAATATTTGAACATATTTTACACATTACTGCTCTAGAACAATGTCTACAAATTCTATTTGCTCAAGCAAAGCATGCAGCCATTAGGTCCCTTGTAGTTTTAAATAAATACCTGATTGATTTTTATGCATTTTATAGCTTTTTTGAAGAAGAACTGAGCATGCCGAGTGAAGTCCCCATTTATTTGCATCGTGGTTTGTCATTATGATGGCAAATAGTTTTGAATAAATCTCCTGGAGTGCATCCCACATCTAAGTGGCCAGTAATTATAGATACGTTGGGTGAGTTTGTATTGGAATAATGTGGTGTATTGATCACCATGGCTATCTGCCACGTCAACAACGACAAATACGACACATCCTCATCTACGTTGAAAGTGGTCGAGGTTTGCATAATCCGAGTATGTATTTTTGTGGGCCCATTACACTCCTTTCTTATACAAATACACTTACGACCGAAAAAGAAAGTTTGCCACTTTGCAAAGAAACTGCAAATATCTGGTTCAAACTAAATCAATGCAAAACACATCGTCCCATCACAACAATGTTCTATGCTGAAAATGATACACGTCCACAGAACGTTTCTATTTCTGCCGACTTCCGACAATGACGTCAGTAGTGACCCATGCCGCTGGGTATATGGCTAGTCGATAGACAATGGCTGGGCGACTCAGGCTCAAATAAAGTGAGGACCTACAGAGGGGATATAGGACTTATAGTGGACAGTTACTGACAGCACAACATCATCGTCAGAGATTGAGGTGGGCACCGGACAACACATCGTTGACAGCGACGTGACTGCCAGAGAGCCGTCTTTACTGATGAAAGTCTGTTTAGTCTGCTCCAGAGCTGATGGAAGACAGGGCCTTTACCCCGAAGATGAGAACGAGCGGTGGAATTTTGCGTTCAGGAGTCGTGTCGTATGATATAGGAGTGTGAGGTGTGAGGGTGGGGGTGGGGATGGGGTGGGGTGTTACTGTGCTTGTCTTACCAACTGACATACCATTTCTACCATAGCTGCCACGTGGTGTCCGTTATCAGCATGATAACAATTGACCCTTTACACGCTAAAATATGTCGTGTCATTGAACTTGAGCGAATGATAGATGTGTGCCTATTACCCATTAAGCCGAAACGTGTTTTGGTAACCCCTCCCAATTCGGGCAATTATCATGCCGATATCTGCTGATATATGACTGTCATTTTAAATGTTGGTTTCAATGCGTTTTTGATCTTTTCCAATACGACTTATACTAAATGCGTCTAACGTATGTGGCTTACGTAACTGGGGTAAAGTTTCTTTTGAGACGTCAGTTTATATGAATATTATTAACACTTGCAGGTTCGCGAATTCGTGTCTGGTATAAAAGATCAGGACCTACTTATGGAAGCGTAGTGAATTTTAGCAGTCGGAACAAAACAATATTCACGCTAAACGATATGGTTTCATCAAACATCGATGTTTGATGCGTCAGGATTATATATCATACATGAAAATACAGGAATAAATACCTACACAGATGTTGGTATCTTTCAGAAGTTGATGTAGGAGTACGATTAACGTTTCGGTGAGTATGATTTAAAGCCGATGAAGATATCTCATTTCGTGGATGTGAATTTCAAATGTGTAGATGGTGAAAGGTTTTTAGGGCATTGGTAGGAATAAGCACCCATACCTATGCCTATTTCACAACAAATCATCACGTTGAGGAAGTGCCCGTATGTTTCCGGGCTTTTTGAGGGAAGCAGGTTGGGGTAATGCTTGTAGCGTATTTTGTACTTGAAGCTTTAAGAAGAACTAAATTCATAATTGTCTTCCATTTTTTTAAGAAGTTTGGCGACAATGAAATTATTCATTTAGTTTGGATTAATCGCGTACCATGGTTTGATATATGTTTAAGTCATATTTTGTTGGATATATAGGTAGAATAAACTGATCCTCAAAGACTTGCGTGCGAGCGTAGGCGTCTAACACATGAAATGGCATGTCAGCTGTGACAACTTCGCTGTATACTGAAGAGTTCTTAAAGCTATGAATATTGTTACCTTGAGGAGTCAAATGTCTAACTGATTCGCTATATCCACCTGCGAAGTCAAATGTCTGACTGATTTGCTATAATCCACAGGTGAAAACCGAGTGCTCGGTGGGCGAGCGGTTTAAAGTGCTGGGCTAAAAATCAAGCCATCACGGCTGTACGCGGATCCAGTCCTCGCTTTTCTTTTTCAGAAACATTGTTTTTCTTCAAATTTTTATTCTGAGTAGTCGGTTACGTTTGTTGAGATAATCTTTCTTCTTGTCGTAAATAAGTTGACCTCGAACCACGTCCGCTCAGTGGGCTTTGCACAAAACATAATGGCATTTCACTCCAATACCGTATACCGAACACGTGTTGTTTACGAATCCCTTTCTGATAGAAATCATGTGTATTCCGCAGTACTCCGTCGTGTATTTCTTTGCCACAGGTCTCGGCTTTTCCAACGTAATTGCAAACATACGGAGTGGGTCTCATCTTTGTTATGTATGCACCTAGATATACATCAGTCTAATTGCTTATCTGTATGCACCTAGATTTTAGTTAGTCTTATTATTTGGCGATTAAGACTGTAGTGGCGAGGCCTAACACAATGAAGATCTGACTCAGGGAAAGTGCGTAATATTGCGATAGGTTGGGCTCAAACATAGGGGTTCCAATTGTTTTCCTGTAACAAAATAGTCGTGCATGGCATCGTTTAAGTCCATAAACGTTCTCATTGGACTTGGTCGTGAATAAAATCCATTCTTTGCATTCATTTTTTTAGCGGAGTCGGTTTGTGTGGCTTGTAATTTCTCCACGGCTAAATCATGACGCTTCCGTTCCGTTTCTATTTCGGCTGCATTGGATGTTCGTAATGTAGAAAAAAGGTAATTACTACCTGAAAAGGCAAGGGCGTTGACTACAGCCCCGCCGACCATCAAAGTAGTCATGGCCATTATATATTTTATAACGCTTATTACTTAAATATGTTTTCCGGAATGATGACTCGCTTGATGAGCGTATCTTTGGTGGCCATCGCTAGTCCCAAATCCAGGACCAGCATGCCCACCAGCATGCCCACGAAATTGTGTTTGGGAGTGGCTTGTTTGATGATAATTTTCCTTAATCGCGCACTGCTGATGGCTAAGCCAGTGACCACAAAGGAGTGATACGCGAACGCTTTTCCGTCAGTAGACTTGTTTATTACATAACGTGCAGGTTTACCTCTGATTGTTTTGTCGATGGTTCGACCACCACCATTGTCTTTTCATTTTGCTTCTTCGTTTTATATACCCATGCAGCCGCGGCGATACCCGTGAAAGTGGCTACCATGGTGTACGGGATCCATGGTCGGATCGGTTTATTATGATGCCTAGCTAACCTGCCTTTTTTTTTTCGGCGGCTACTTTTGTAGGTTTTTTTTGTTTCTTCGTGACAGTATCAGTATCGTCTGCCCCCGTGGTAACCGACGTCACGATGCATGTAAATTGTCATTTCCTCATACAGCCCACATTAAACTATTCCGTAGCACCCCAGTTCTTAGTTTGCAGTTGCTTCACTCGGCTAACATCACTGATGGAAACTTTGCCGAGTCTTGGTTCGAATCTCTTCTTTCATTCGGTGGTATTTTGCGATTTCCGACATCACCAACCGAAACTCTTCCTCAGAGATTTTGATATCGGTGATTGCTGTGGAAATATATGGAATCCTGGAAGGGACATTGTCGCGTTGTCGCACTGTCGCGTTGTCCCCTCTCAAATACAAGCAAAATGAGGCAAAATAAACCAAAACACGACATGGGACAACGCGACATTTCGCCCATTTGTCGCATTGTCGCTTTTTGAATAATTTTTTTTTTTTTATTCCTCCAAAGGGCGACACGTGACATAGCGACAATTTTCAAGGTCAAAATATGTCGTATTGTTGCCCTATGTAAAATGTGTAAAAACCGCCTAAACATTTACTAGAACTCGACACGCGACAATGCGACATTTTGATGAAATGTCGCGTTGTCGCATTGTCGCGCTTTGTTAAAATATTGAGTATATGTATTATAACATATGACTGAAACGCGACAATGCGACAAAATACATGTCGCATTGTTGTGTTGTCACCCTTTTCTATTACCGGCGCGCATGTGTACTAAGTCAATTAGTCTATGCATGCGCAGAAAATGTTATACTCTATTTCAGACTTCACTGGTCTTTTGTTACCTCCAATGGTTTTTACAATGAAGTAGTGCTTGTAATGGCAATGGAGGCTGCTTTTCTTGAACTTAATGGAAATCTTTCATTGTTGCCTTATTATTTTATATATTGTAAATGTGTTTAGCCAATCAAGTGTGTTTTAGCAGCCAGACAAATTATTAGCGCTACTATTCATTGTAATGACAGCACACGGTGGCCCTGTCATTCAAGGCGAGGCAATTTGCTATGCAGGGTTGTGTCTCTTAGTCACACTAGATAACTATGATCACAGGTTCGAATCCCAGGACCATACACATTCATCACTTTGAACATTTCACCCATATCAAGCTGACAGGTTGTGAAAAAAATGAAATATTGTTAGAATTCAGGCCACATCGGCATAAACATCAGGTGAAATCCTCGAATGGGTCACTATGTTCGACATAGTTCGGCTCCTGACAGAGTTTCTTGGTACAGTCCTGTCCGACGCTGATGAATTTGTCCGACATCTGCCTCTGTTCAGCCAGCAGTGGATGGATACCAGGTAGAATGAGATGGTAATATCACTTAACCAATCAGCACCTCAAAGACAGTTTATGTCGGCTTTGAACGTGATATTCTTCTTGGGAAAACATCATACAAATGGACTGTTATTATTATGATATTAGAAACGATGAAATTGCTTGGCAGAGTTGTGTACCCTTGGAGTGCCAAAAACCAACCCTCCCTCCCTTACTCACTCCTCTCGCTCCGCGCCTCTCCACTGCACTCCGCTCCGCCCCGCTCCGCTCTTCTCCACCCTGCTCCTAAACGCTCCACTCGTCTCCGCTCCTCTCCTCTCCACTCCACTCTTCACTCACTCACTCACTCATTCACTCAAGGTTTAGGGAACTTGGTAAATTAGCAAGGTATTTCATTACAATAATGTGTTGTGATGTCTGTTTTTCAATTCTGTTTGAATCCTATATTATTAATCCTGCACATGTCATGATTCACAATATATCGATTATTTTCTCATACGATACTATACCCAGCGAAATGGCCAGTTTCAATACATCCATTCCATTAACCAAGAACTTTTAACCCACAGACTTCACGGCCACATTTATTATTACTCATAGTTCAATCCCCGGGTATCTTAGCCCTTTAAAAACATCTAAACATAATCACCCTTGTAATAGTTTTGAAATTCCGTGGTAACTAATAAAATGGGACACATGACAATGCGACAACGCGACATTTTGATGAAATGTCGCGTTGTCGCATTGTCGCATGTCGTGCTTTGTTAAAATATTAATAATAATAATGTCCACTTGTATGGCGCCGTTTCCACACACTAGTGTATGCTCATGGCACCCCGTGTGTAAAGCTAAAAATCTGCAGCAATTGTACAAGTCAGTCATTCGTAATATTTCCTGAAAAGATTGGTCTTCAATGAAGATTTGAATAAGTCAAGAGATTTTGCTGTTTTGATGGTTATGGGAAGACTGTTCCACAGTGAAGGAGCAGCATAGCTGAATGATCTGTGACCATAGTTCTTGAGATTGACGGGGTGTTGTTAGGAGGAACTGTTGGTGTGATCTCAGCTGTCGTGGGGGTGTGTACACTGAGATGAGTTCAGAGAGGTACTGAGGCGTTAGGTCATGTAGACACTGGAACGACATATTGAGTATAGTATGTTTTATAACGTATTTGACTAAAATGCGACACGCAACAATGCGACAATGTGACATTTTGATGAAATGTCGCATTGTCGCACATCGCGCTTTGTTAAAATATTGAGTATAGTATGTATTATAACGTATTTGACTCAAACGTGACATGAGAAAACGCGACATTTTGTCGCATTGTCGCGTGTCGCGCTTTGTTAAAATATTGAGTATAGTATGTTTTATAACGTATTGATTGACTAAAACGCAACGACGCGATAATGCGACAACGCCGACATTTCATCAAAATGTCGTGTTGTCGCATTGTCGCGTGTCGCGCTTTGTTAAAATATTGACTATAGTATGTATTATAACCACAGGGGTTCGAATCACTGTTTGACCGCTCTTCGATAAACATCGACAGTTTCCGTGGATGTTTTAATGACTCAGAAACAGAAAACGGCTCAGCCTGGTTCCCAGGGTGTGCTGCCCTAATGCTTCGACGCTGAAAAAGCCATTTATTATCTAATTCTTTTCTAATGTATTATGAGGAAATAATTGATAAAGTTCAAACCATTGTTTTTTAACTGCGGGTGTGTTTGTAAAATTGTCGGCTCTCAGTAACATAATACAGAAAAATATATTCCTTATCTTGAGTTACTTTGGTACATATAATTTGTAATAAAATTAAACGGATCCATCCATGTACACACTTTTTTTTCCAAGAATGTTTTCTGAATCGGTTTTGCAAAACAACATGAAAAGGTTGTACCAATATTATTCAGAAATGTTTATGATCAAAATAAACATAGGGAATCAAATGATCTGTGCATAAAAACACACACAATTATACTGCTGAATACAATGAATTTGGCACACTATTTTACTAAAATGAATATATAAAAGTACACAGTATGATCAGTATGCTAATACACTACCATAAAAATACATACATTGCCTTGAAAGTACATATATTTGAAGTTTAACTTTTAAGACAGATGTACATTCTGCTATATGTGAGTTTTACCAATGAAACTTGTCCTGAGTACTGTAGTTTTTATGGCTTGAAGCCAGTATCAGTGTATACATTTGGTATACATGTATATTGATCATTTTGAGCATGATAACCCTGGTGATATTAGAATAGATCTGATACATGTTAATAATCATATAATTTGATATCAGCAATTATTCAGCAGTTAACCAGTTTGATTAAATTCTGCAATGGAGTCTTTTTGCATTACTTTATTATACTTTAGGGCTGTGCATACAAACATAGTTCAACAGTGATTTTACTTAGAATTTTGGAGAATGACAGTGCTCTGAATTTGTTAGCCAGTTCACTATTGATATTTAAAAAAAATTGAAATTGTATGGTTTGTATCTAGAAATTGTGTCTTTTTATAGAAATCTGGGTATTATGTTAACACCTAGACTTATTTGGACTAAAGCACTAACTACTCTTGGTGTAGAGATTGAAAAGGCTATTATGACATTGTACAGATATTAAAAGAAAGTTGGAAATATACCATGTCCAGATTTATTTAAGATATTTAGGGCTCCTTGCCTCTAGGCAGGAGACCTATTGTAATCATTCAGATTATTAGGGCTCCTTGCTGCAAAGCATGAGACCTATTATAATCGTTAATGTTT